GCGGAGGTGGCAGAATTGTTGAAGGTAGTCGTCAATGGTTTTCTGGGGGCGGAAGGTGGCGGTGAGGAGGGTGGCCCATTGGAGGAAGGTGTGGCGTGGTCCTCCGGAGGCTCGGCGGTTGCTAGCTTCAGCCATCCACCATTTGGCTGCATTGCCGAGGAGGCGGGAGGTGGCAATGGGGAGCCAGTGGGCAAGGGGCATGTGGTGGAGCTGAAAAGAGTTCTGAAGTTGGGTTAGGAAGAGGAAAACGTCCCTGTGGGGGAGGCTGGAGAAGGACATGATTTCGCCAGATCGAAAGGAACGGGGGATTTCCCCGTCTCGGTGAACGATCTGCGCGAGGGTGTTGAAGCTGAGGTTATGGGGGGTGGTGTCGTAGCAGGTGTGGTCGATTTGGTTGTTGTCCTCAAGGAGGTAGTTGGGGGGAAGTTGTGGCATTGCGGGGAAAACGTCGGAGGTGAATTGGGAATAGGTGGGACGGATGGTGGGGATGGTGGAGGTGGTCATGATGGGTTGGGAGAGGGTTTCGGAGTGCGGGGGGGGAAGAGGGGTGACTTTGATGGGTGAGGAATGAGGCGGTGTGCTGGATGCGCCGGATGAGGGAGGAGGTGGAGGGAACGGAACGATGGTGGGAATTGAAGGGTTGGTGGATATGGCGGTAGGAGTGGAGGAGGTCGGCGGGGGGGTGTTGCTGGAGGCGGCTGTGGAGGAGGGAGTGGTTTGCGCTGTGGAGGTTGGAGTGGTTTGCACTGTGGAGGTTGGAGTGGTTTGCACTGTGGGGTTTGGAGTGGTTTGCGCAGTGGTGACGACCGTGATGGAGGGGGTGGTCCCTTCGAGCGTGGTGACGCGATCGCATAAGGACGACACGTTGGCCTTTATGTCGTCGAGAGAGGCGGTGACGGAGGTTTGGAAGGTGTTGAGTGCGTGGAGGATGGCGGAGAGGTCCGGGGTGGCGGTGTTTGCTGGTGGTTGTTCGCCGGCGAGGTTGCGGGCGATGCTATCGACTGAGTCGGTGCGGATGTCAGACATGTTGGTGGAGGATGCGGCCATGTCGGGGGAAGAGGGGGTGGAGGACGTGGCCTGAACGGGGGTGGAAGATGCAGCAGCAGCGGTGGCGGCGGCGGCAGCACGTTGGGAGTTCTTGGTTTGGCGTGGTGGC